GGTTGCGAGCCACTGATATGGGTGCCCTGGTCTTTGGGGGAGAGCAGCAAATGTTCTTAATCACTAAGCCATCTCTCTAGTGCCCTAGTTTTGATTTGAGACAGGGTTTTACTATATGTCTCAGGCTGGCCTTGAATGTCCAATCCTCCTGCCTCATTCTTGCCCAGGTGCTAGAATTACAGGCAAGCCCCTTCCAGTCCCTGTTATTTCCTTCCCTCTTTCCCTTTTTTCTTTCTGAGACCAGGTCTCTTGTAGCCCAGGCTGGCTTCAAACTTGCTAAGTAGAATGACCTGGAACTCCTGACCTGCCACCACCTGTGCTTTAGATAGTGCTGGAGATCAAACAGCCTCATGCATGAAACCCAAAGCTCTTAATGTTTTTTGGGGGGCATTGAATCTCCATCATTCTGTATTCAACCAATACATCCCCAGTCTCTCTGCCTTCTACTTTATGAGTCTGATGACCACTGACACCTATCGTTGGTGTCCTGCATTATCTGTCCTTTAGTGGCTGGTTTGTCTCAATTAACACTGTGTCCTTGTACTTCGTCTACATTATAGCACATACTAGCATCTCCATTCTCTCTAAGGTCAAATGATGCTGAACCGTGTGTACAAGTCACATTTTATTTCTCCAATCATCTGTTGATAGATATTTGGGCTGTTGCCAACTCAAAAAAAAAAAAAAACAAAACGATTTCCTCTACTTTTTGAGATTACAATGTAATTACATCATTTTCTTTTACCCCTTTCTCCCTCAGAATCCTTACATATACCCCCTCTTTCAAATTCATGGCCTCTTTTTCATTAACTGTTGCTACATGCAAACATGTGTGTTTATATATGTGTGTATATATCTATATCTATTATGTATTTTTTTTGAGACAGGGTTTCTCTGTATTGTTTTGGAGGCTGTCCTGGAACTTGTTCTGTAGACCAGGCTGGCCTCGAACTCACAGAGATTCACCTGCCTCTGCCTCCCAAGGTGCGCGCTACCAACACCCAGCTCTATTAATACTCTTAATAATAAGTACAACCTGCACAGTCTGAGTACTGTAATTTGTATGCATGTTTTCTGGGCTGACCATCTGATACTGGGTAACCAATTGATGAGCTCTTTTTTGGAGAAGATGTTGCTACTTTTAACTATTGAGGGTAACACTGTTTTAACTATTGAGGGTAACACTGTTTTAATTATTGAGGGTAACACTGTTTTGTGCTCTGCTTTCCATTCTTCTGTGAATATCCCCAGAAGCCAAGTTGCGGAACCAGACTGTAAATCTGTGTCTCATTTTCTGAGTAACTCTTTCAATACTTTCTGCCTTTTATGGAGTTTTGATCTAAAACTGGAGAGGGTCTCTCTTTTCCTTGTTGGGACCAGCAATAAGCACTCACTTCAGCTGGCATCCTATTGAGAGGCAGATTGCAGATCTTCTGAGGAGTTCTGTAGGAGAAAAGAGTTTTGTGGCCAAGGAAATGGTCGGACTATGTAGTCTGGCCTGCCTAGAATTCATTATGCTGGCCAGGCTGGCCTTCAATCCACAGTAATCCTCCTGCCTCTGCCTCCCAAGTACTAAGATTACATGAGACCACCACCACATTGGCTCAGATGTGGGCCTACATGACTTGTGCTCTGGCTTGTTGTTAGTACCTACAACTCCACCACCCTCATGGTCCTCATTCCTGCCTTGTCCCTCTGACCCAAGGGGACAAGCACAGATTCAAGCTGTCTTTGATGGGGTCAGATGAGAGGAATCCCATTACAATCTCATCTAAACTTTGTTGGGCAATGGCTTCCCTTCTCTCCTTTGAATCAGTCTGATCTAGATGTGACCATAGAACCATAGGCTAGACCGCAAGATGGTGGAGTGTCAGGTCCTCCCAAGATGCATGAAACAGCTGGGAAGCTTGAAGCTTCCTTCTGATTCACAACATAATGACTCAGTATACAGAGAAATTAAAGTACAGCATGTGTCACTAACAGTCCCAGGACTAACAGCCCCAGGTTTGCTTAACCCTGCTTCTTTTGACCAGGTCCCATTTAGCTCAGGGTGGTCTCAAACTGGCTAAGCAGCTGAGGGTGACCTTGAACTCCTGAGTTTCCTGCCTCTACTTCCCAAGTGCTGGAATTATAGAATGAGCCACATGCCCAGTCTTTCTCTAAGACAGTGGCCCACAGGAGAGCCCTTTCTCCTTGTTATTTATTTATTTGGTTTTTTCAAGACAGGGTTTCTCTGTGGTTTTGGAGGCTGTCCTGGAACTCGCTCGGTAGATCAGGCTGGTCTCAAACTCACAGAGATCCACCTGCCTCTGCCTCCCGAGTGCTGGGATTAAAGGCGTGTGCCACCAACACCCGCCCCCCCCCCCACACACACTTTTTTTTGTTGTTATTTTGCTTTTCAAGACAAAGTTTCTCTGTGTAGCCCTGGCTGTCCTGGAATACACTCTGTAGACCAGGCTGGCCTGGAACTCAAAGATCTGCCAGCTTCTGCCTCCTGAGTGCTGGGATTAAATGTGTACACCACCACCACCTGACAAAAACACATTTTCATTGGTTTCTCTTATCAAAATGTTATATGTTCATTGCTTTAAAGTAGTGTAGGCAATAGAATGAGACTGTCCCTTGCCTTTTGACCTTTCACCCTCTCCCATATGGGACAGCTCTGAAGTTTCAACTTCCCTAGCAGGATAGTTCTTTCCCTAGGAGACCTGACATTGATCCCAGACTTAAGAGACAGCTTCCAGAAGTTACAGTTCTTCCTCAGTGTGAACTCAGTAGTAGATATATTTTGTTTTGTTTTGTTTTTGCTTTTTGAGACAGAGTCTCTCCACATAGTCCTGGCTGTCCTGGAACTTACCACGTAAACCAGGCTGGCTTTGAACTCACAGTGACCCATTTGCCTCTGAGTCCCTTGTGCTGGTACTAGAGGTATGTGTTGTCATGTCTGACATTACTGGATATCTTTAAGCCTCAGTTTTCAAGTCTATAAAATAGGTACAGTAATAATTCTTATTGTCTGGGGCTCCTGTTAAGATTCACATAGTCTATGATTGCTGACATTAAAAAAAATTGACAGAGGGCTATTGTTATTAATATTATCTGTGGGCAAGATGCTAATATTATTACTACTATTAACTGTCAGCAAGATGAACTTTACGGTTTGAATGCTAAGTGTTCTTGTAGACTCACATGCTTGGACACTTGGGCCCTAGCTGGTGGCTCTGCTTCAGAAGGTTGGATAAGCTGTAGGAGGTAGAGTCTTGCTGGAGGAAGTGAAATCACTGGAGGTGGGCTTTAGATTTTTTGTTCTTATCCTACTTGCCCCTACTTCCTGTTCTCGCTCTCTCTGTTTTTAGGCTGCCTCATGCTCCTGTAGCCATGCCCTCCCCACCATGATGGATGAACTGCCTCCCTTCTTAGGCTCTACACTGTGATTCTGGAAGAATCCAGTGACTCCAGAATTTTCCGCAGTCCCCTAAGCGTGCACAGAGGTGAGGACAGGGTCAGCTTCTGACTCCAGTCTCTATTCTTGCCTGCTTGCACTGACTGACATCACCTCTCTGCTCTAGTTTGCCATGCTTTAGTGTTTGTTTTTTTTTTAGAACTGAGATATGATTCATGCTTTTAATATGTATAGTGTGCAGTTAGGTGTTAGTATGTTCAAGACTGTGCAACCAGCACCAATGTCTAAATCCCAAACACATTCACCTCTTGGGTCTGCAATTCGGTAGATACTGAAGGGCAGTTTCTTCTGTAAATTCCCAGGCATCTAGCTAAAGCAGTTCCTAGAATTGCATTAGTCTGACTCCACGCTGCTTGGGTGAGTCAGCACCCTGACTGAGTCCCAGCTGTGTTTTCTTGCTTTGGTTCACTGACATTGGAGACCCTGGGACCGGGGCTGTTCTAACTCCCCTGAATCAGCTTTTCATGACTGTGACTATTTCCTAAGGAAATTATGTAAATGAAGGAATGATTTACTTTGGATCTCTGGTTTAGTGCTTGGCCACTTGACCTGATTACTGTGGGCCTGTGTTGTGCCTCAACAAGAGCATCAGGGTGGAGAGGTCACAGAAGCATGGTGGCCCACCTCATAGCAGCCGGGAAACGGAGGGAGAGGTGGGTCAGGATAAGGTGTGTCTTGTGATGACAATCTCTTCTTAATGGGTAGTTCCACCAGGTGGGAGCCAACCCTAAAACACAAAGTGGATTAACTGAACCCCCTCTATGTGTGTGTTGGGGATGGAACCATGCATACCAGGAAAGTGCTGTACACGGGACATGCGCCCAGCTCCATGTGTGTTCTCTGACCCTTGTATCTAACTTTTCAGGAAGGCCTCGCATTCGGATCTTCTGGTTTCTTGCCTTCTCGCTGTGATTCTGATTTGCCTATCTTGTTTTTCATTGTGTTTGGGTTTCTCTACGCACTTTCAGCCGAGTAATATGAACAGCTGTTTGTGCAGCAGACAGGTGACAAGTGTTCCCAAATCTTATCCAGTTTGATCCTCCTAGCAGCCCGTGTGTTTGGGCAGTGGATATTTTCATACGTTCCCTCTTTTTTTTTAAAGGGTATTTTTAAAGATTTACTTATTATGTATACAGTGTTCTACCTGCATGTATTTCATTACAGATGGTTGTGAGCCACCATATGGTTGCTGGGAATTGAACTCAGGACCTCTGGAAGAGCAGTCAGTGCTCTTAACCGCTGAGCCATCTCTCCAGCCCTACATTCCCTCTTTTGAACCTGCTCCTGGGAGTCTCCCCATATAAGTCATTCTATCCCAGCCCTTTCAGGCGCTTGGGTACCAGATCAGTATCTCAATGATCCCACTCCACAGACACCCTAGACAGGCCGATGTATTTTCAAGGAAAAGACTCAGCCACAAAAGCTTGCAGCCGCCTGTCTCATGTGTTTATGAACAAATTATGCATTTGGATTCATCTGGTTACTTCTTTTGGAACATAAGGTCTTTGAGGGCAAAGACCATCTGGAAATTTGAGGATTAAGAGAACTTTATTTATTTATTTATTTATTTATTTTTGCTGGTCTCCTCACATGGTTTCTCTGTTGTCTTCAAGTAGTGGAATCTTCTCCATCCTTCTCTGGGGCTTCAGGACAAGCATGCTACATTTGGAGAATTTGAAGATCAGTGCAGAATTTTCTCTGGACTCTCTAATCAAAGATAAGCATGAAAAAAAATCCGTCAAGATCAGAAAGATGGTTTACCTTTTAAGAGCATTGACTGCTCTTCCAGAGACTTGAGTTCAATTCCCAGAACTCAAATGATGGTTCACAACCATATGTAACTTCAGTTCCAGGGTATCCAGTGCCCTTTTCTGGGCTCTGAGGACACAAGTCATGAAAGTGGTATGTATGTAGACACAGAATGCAGATAAAACACTCACACACATAGAATAAAAATAAATCTTTTAAAAAGTCATTTTGTCCACTACATTGCAAAGCTGGTAGAATGCTCATCTTTAGGAAGATCAATGATATATTTGGAATCCTTAAAAATCAACTGTGTGGCTATTATGTCATACACACACACACACACAGACAGACACACACACACACACACACACACGCTGCAGTGCTAGGGATCAAACTCATGACCTTGTGCATGTAGCTCCACCAATGGAGCTACATCCTCAAGCCCTATTAGATTAATCTGAAAATCAGTTTTGACACTTAGAACAGAAAAAGTACTGGCTAACAGGGGGCTACACACTAAAGTAACCCATGGCTGATGTCTGTGCACATGAGGAGACTGGTACTGCTATCCTGAATCTCCTTTCTGCTTGGATCAGCTGTTCGGTGATCAAGCATTCCTTCGACGTTCTATATGTTAAAAGGAAAAAGGTGCAACATTCCCATCTGTAACCATCATCTCCGTTTCGCTAAAAAGAGATGTAAACTATGAGCAGGCCCTAACTGCAGCTGACATATCTTTGCTTTTGCAGCTCTGCCCATAGAAAAGCCTGCTGCCCACTGATTCACCACGTATACATCTGCCTATACATATGCAGATGTATACATGTAATGAAACTTTAAATTTTTAAATGCTCAATTCATAGGAAGTTTCAAAGGAAGTAAAGGTGAATTCTCATGGATAATCAAGTTCCTGCAGCTATTATATCTATAAAAAGATTTATTTTATATTTACTTCTTTTTATTTGTGTGTGTGTGTGTGTGTGTGTGTGTGTGTGTGTGTGTGTGTGTGTGTGTGTTCAGTCGCCTGAGGAGGCCAGAAGAGGACATTGGATTTCCTGGAGTTGGAGTTACAGTTGGTTGTGAGCCCCTCAAAGTGGGTGCTGGGAGCCAAACTTGGATCGTCTGCAAGAGCAGCAAGCACTTCGCTGGTGATCCATCTCTCCGGCCTCAGGGAGTACCTCTTACATGTTTTTGCACTCTCTTAAAACAGGAATATGACATTAGTACAGGCGTGCCAAGTCCTCTATCATTTTATCACAAACAGACATGTGAAACCTCCCACAAACAGACGCTCCTGACCACTATTGCCACTGGAACACAGAACTCCACCATACATGAAGCTCCTTGATCTAAGAGCTTATACAACACCCCACTTCACCCAGCCTCCCTAGTTCCTGGCAACCACTAGTTTTCTCCTCCTCTACAATTTGGTTATTTTAGGAATGTTACTAAATAGAATCATATAATGTGTGTCTTTGGGAGATTTATGTTTTCAGTCAGCAAAAAGTCCTGGAGACCCATCCAAGATGTCTTCTGTGCCCTTAGTGCCTTCCTGGTCATTGATGTACCTCTGTAAGGGCATAGCGTAGCTCACATAGCATTCACCCACTGCAGGACATTTTGGTTGTTTCTAGTTCTTGGTGATTATAAGTAAAACTGTTCACAGCAGTTGTGTAAAGATTTTTTGAGAATGTGACTGCTTCCTTCACTAGTACAAATACCAAGAAGCAGTATCACTTGGTCATGTGGTAAGTGTATGTTTAGTTCCCACCCTCATCCCTTTATGAGGGATTGAAGAGGCAAATGAATGGATTAGACCTGGAATTGGAGTTAATGGGAAGGAAGAGCTAGGAACATTTTATAAAGCAGCCAGAAGATCGCAGAGTTGACATCTGGCCCCATCTATTATGGGAGAAAATGAAAACTTGACTCAACTCAGAGATCCTTGGGATAATAACAGTTGTATGGTTTAAGGTTTTAAAATAAAAGATAAGCCCAGAGGTGGTGGTACATGCCTTTAATCCTAGCACTTGGGAGGCAGAGGCAGGTGGATCTCTTTGAGGTTAAGGACAGCCTGGTCTACAGAGTGAGTTAGTTCTAGGATGCCAGAGCTACACAGATACCCTATCTCAAAACACAAAACAGAACAAAAAGACAAAATAAAATAAACTCATATTCTTTGTTGTCATGCTAGGGATGGAATCTAAGGCCTTACACATCTTAGGATGCTTCACTACTGAACTATATTCCAGCCCCCAAGGTTATTTTACTATAGGGCCTTTTCTTATCCCATCAGCTTTTTTCTTCTGTTGTTGATTGAACCCAGGGCCTTGCACATGCTATTCAAGTGTAAGTATGCTTCCACTGAGTTACATCTACAAATTTTTTCCTTCTCCTCCTTCCTCTTCCTCCTCTTTTTCCTCTTCCTCAAGACAGTAGCTCACTGTGTAACTCTTGCTGACCTGGAACTCTATATGTAGACCAGGCTGGCCTCAAACAAGTAGAGGTCTGCCTTCCTCTTCCTCCTAAGTGCTGGAATTAAAGCATGTGTCACTGCCCTATCTAGCCCACAGATTTCTTCTTAATATTGAACCAGGAAGCCGTAATCTCTCCCTCCCTCCCTCCCTTCCCCCCTTCCTCCCCCTGTCTTATTTTGACTGAGGCTAGCCTTAAATATGGCAATCCTTTTGCCTCAGCCTCTCAAGTTTTGATCACAGACATGAGCCACACCTGGCTGATGCAACGGTTTTAAAAGAACATGATGCTCTCAAGCTAAAATCAGCACTGTATTAAAAATTAAGGCATCAATGCCAAATACTCATTACTTCTAGAAATCCAAGTGGTTTAATGTTAGGAAACAAAATAGAAAGACACTTAATAAATTTCCTGATGAAAATGAACCGCTTAGTAGAATTTAGACTATTGTTTTATAATAGGATAAAAGTGAGTCAACGATTAGTATTAAGTACATGATTCAAGGCTGAAAAGTGTGGAAGGTTCATTCTCAGCTTTTGCGAGATAAAGAAAGATGTCATCATCAGTTTTCTGTAGGTGCAAGCCAATGTGATACTACAGGGAAAATGAAAGGAAAAATTGGAAGCAAGAAGTCAGGTTCAGTGGTGTTTGCCTAGAGTCTCAGCACTTAGGAGGCCAAGGCAGGAAGTTCAAGGTCACCTTGGACGACACAGTTATGCTATCTTAAAAGACAATTGAAAGGAGGAAGTGAAGCCCTAGCCTCTGAGGTTCAAGCCACCTTTCTCTGGTCTGCCCTGGGATGCTTTGGTTCAGACACGAAGCACACCTCACCCTGGAGCTACAGAGGCAGCTCAGCTCTAGTGGTGGGCAGGGCTTGCTGTCTTGCTTCCTGTTTCTGTCCTGTCTGCACACCAGCTGAGTCTCAGTGTTCCTCTCTTTGTCATCTGTCAATCACGAGGAGGATCTGCTACCAGCCTCTCCTCTAGGTGTCTAAAGACTAATAAGCTCAGCCTTTCCCTATGGATTGCCCTACCTAGGAATGATGTCTGCCTTTGGGATTCTGCTTAGATGATATCTTAGGGTTATTATGTTGCCTTTTTAGTTTTTTTTTTTGTTGTTTGTTTTTTGTTTTACGAGGCAGGGTTTCTCTGTATTGTTTTGGAGGCTGTCAGTCCAGCCCAGCCTCGAACTCACAGAGATCCACCTGCCTCTGCCTCCCGAGTGCTGGGATTAAAGGCGTGCGCCACCAACACCCGTCTGCCTTTTTAGTTTTTTAAACTTAGTTGACTTAGTTAGTGCCAGCTGTCAAGCGACATAGCCCAGAGGTATTTGAGGGAGTCTCCCCTGGGGGGATTGCCAGGTCAGATTGCCCCATGGTCATGTCTTCAAGGAACTGCCTTAATTGTTGGTTGATATGGAAGGGTCCAGCTCACCGTGAGTTTTGCTCTCTCTGGGTAGGGGATGTGGAGCTGTATAAGAAAACCAGACGAGGGTGAGCCAGATAGCTCCTCCATGATTTCTGCTTCAATTCCTGCTTGATTTTCTGCAGTGACTTCCCTCAGTGATGGACTCTGACCTTCCAGGGTGAACTGGAAATAAACCCGCCCTCCCTTAAACTGCTCTGGCCATGGTGTCTATCACAGCAATACTAGGACAATAGTTAACTAGAATACTAGTTAACAATTCCTTCACTAAGTCATTTCTGCTAAAGCAACCTATACAGTCTGTCTCTACACTGGTCCCTGGCACAGAATCACAAGAGCCTTCATTACTGTAGCTGGTTTGAACATATATACATAAAGATTAGCCTTCATACAATATTAGTAAAGAAATATGATTTGCTGGTTGCTAAGATTGCAATCCTGGATGTGGAAGTGTGTTGGGGGTGGGCAAAGGATAGAATTACCTGTTAATGGGGATAGTGAGGAGCTGTGTGGGGCCCCACACAGGTTTGCTCGCCTTATAAACACAGTCTGTTCCAAAGTTGAGGTCAGGAAATTATAAATACCCAGAGTCGAAGCTGTCAATGTTTTCACGAAGACAGGTTTTGGTGGGTTCTTGAGGAGCAGTGGACTCCCAGAAATACTGTCCACGTATCAAAAGGGTGGACACAGTGCCCGTCCTACCCATTGTCCTATAGCTCTTGTTTTATCAGGTCTCTCACATGCACTGACTCAGTGGCGTCTCTGAACCTCCGTCACACACAGATCCATGACTAAGCCAGAGGTGACTGTGTCCGGGAGGCCAGTGATCTTGGAGGCTGGGCATAAGGAGCCATGTTGAGTCAGTGACTTCTTGTGAGTAAATCTCCCTGCAGATAGATGGCCATGCCTGTCTCCTAGTGGCTCAGTGGCAGTGGAAAAATGGTACCAGAGACTTTCCACTGGCACTTTCAAGTGAGAAGATCGTTAAGTACAAAGATATGGGTTTAGGTTTGCTCTAGAAAGATGTGGAAAGCTTGTTTCCTAGGGATACAGGAGGAGGAACTGAGGAGATGGGGGGAGGTGAGAACTGGGAGACAGTTCAATTTTTCACATATAGATGTCAATGTTGCATACAAAGCAAGAGAACTTTTTGTTTGTTTTGTTTTGTTGAGACAGGATTTCTCTGTGTAGCTTTGAAACCTATCCTGGCACTTGCTTGGTAGACCAGGCTGGCCTCAAACTCACATAGGTCTGCCTCTTAAATGCTGGGATTAAAGGTGTGCACCACCACTGCCCTGCAAAGCAGTTTAACATTTCCCTACCACCGTTTCTCTGTGTTGCTAAACTTTCTTTCCAAACGTCACTTTAAAAAAAAAACCTTTTATTTATGATGATGATGTGTGTAGTATGTGTGTGTGAGGGAGGGCATGCATGTGCCACAGTGTGTGTGCATGTGTGTGCATGTGTGTGCGAGCCAGAGGACATCTTTTGAGTCAGTTCTCTCCCACCACTGTGGGTTTGGGGGATGGAACTCAGGCTTCCAGGTTTGCTTAGCAAGTACTTTTACCTGGTGAGCATCTCATGACCCTCCAAATGTCACTTTTTAGACTGGAGAGGTGGATTTGATGTCATCAGATGTACCCTCCCCCAGCCTTGAACTGAGGGAACCTGAGGGATAAGGTAGAGTGAGGAAATAATTCATCTTGGACAAACTCTTATTCTTTGGGTCTTTCTCTGTCCCTCCCTCTCTCCCTGCCTTTCCTTCCCTCCCTCCTGCTCTCCCTCTTTTCTTCTGGAAAATGATGTTGCTGGAAGTAGGTTCTCCCTGGGGATCTGTACAGTGATCATCTATCACCTTCACGAAGCACATCATAAGTCAGCCTCATTTGGACATGATTCTTTGTAAATCTTTATTTAATCCACCAACCCTCCTGTCTTAGGATCATTTGGCATAATGGGGACCATTCATCCTCATGATGGATGTGCGTGTGGTGGCTATAATTTCCTCCTTCATAAATGGAGAAACTGAGTCCAGAGGTGTAGGATGATTGACCACAGTTTTTTGTCTTATCAGGGTAGCCCTGGGGTTCATCCTCCCCGAGTTAGGGCTGATGGATAGCAGGGGCCAGAGCTTGTTGGAGTAGACAACAGTTGGCGGCTTTGGGCTGATTATGAAATATATTCATCATGTTGCTGTCACCTCCCTCTGTTCCTCTTTGGAGTCCAATTCACCATTTCTGTGTGGTATTTGTTCATGACATGATCATACACAGACCTTTGGAGCACACACACACACATATACATATGCACACATATATGCACAGGCAAATGCACACACACATGCACCACATGCACACGCACATGCACCACATGCACACGCACATGCACACGTACACGCACACACCCACCCACACCCATGCACGCACACAAGCACTCACATGTGCATATAGGCATGCAAGACAGTTTGGTCACACCTAAGTCACAGATAAAGCTGAAGGAAGCCTGTGAATGAATCTGTAGATAAAAACTCCAGTATCTGGGCAGGTAACACCCAATGACAACAGAGCTGTGTTGACTTACACTTTTCCTTATCGGGGGAATCAGGTATTTGTGTAAATCAGAAAAGGATTTGATGGATGCCAGCTCATTGGTGTCTCTAGCCAATAGACAGGTTTGGTTAAACAAAATATATATTCTTCTTATCTCCAGTGGCGACTATCGCTACAACTCCCCACTCCCCTCTCCTCCAAGCTCTCTAAAGACAAGGGCCTTATCTGGAGTTTGTAAGAGTTTCATGGCTTGCAGGCTCTGCTAAAATCACTCTGACAATGTGCAACCCAGGCCCAGCCCGAGTCATTGTGGCAGACAGATGAGCCCTGCTTATCTCTACTGTCTTGGCAATAAACGCCCTTTTTTGAAGATGCTTGTTTAGACTACCCCAGGGGAAGGCCAGGTACCAGCTCCCTCAGTGGGAGGGGGTCCTTAGGAGCTGAGGTTCTACAGATGTCTGCTGAGCTCTTCTGTTTGAGAGATGCAACACAGAAAACACAGACTCTCAGGGGTAACTGACTCCTAGTGACATGGGCTGCAAACACATGCAGAAAGGAAAATTCAGAAACAATCCCTCCAGACAGAGGACCTTAGGGAAAGCAGGAAGTCTTGGGCTGGGAATAAGACTGGGGACAGAAGGCAGGGAAAGGTGAGAGCCGTAGAAGGTGAGTGGGCCACTTAAAAAGCCACAAGGAACTAGGGGTTCATTGTTTTGCTTGTTGGAAAAGATGATGGCCTCCATAGAGATTTGCGGGTGGCAGTCATGTGGCAACTGGGGGACCCAGTGAGGTGCCGTCAGAATCTGAGCAAGGCTCTGCCCCTTATCTGCTGGAGGGGTTCACCTTGACTATATCTCTGCCTCACATGCTGCAGAACTGTTCTTCTAGAACAATGGCACAATGCCCCAAGCCTCAGGAGGTATTAGCCTCTCCTCTGCCCAGCAGGAAGTAAGGCTGGAGTTGGGGGATGAGAATTTGGCAGGAATAGGCTGTTTCTCTTCCTGTTAGGCCCCTTGGCTTTTAGGATCAAGCCAGTAGTTTGTCAAAATGAAGGTCCTGGGGGTAACCCCGGTCAGTGTACCATCTTGTGAGGGCTTGCCTGTTACCTTCACCTGTCCCTCGACCCCCAGAAGAGTGCCCACCTCACACAGCAACAGCTAGATGGATGGCGCAGATGCTTCACTGTCCCTGAGAGATCTGTCTGTCTGGCTTTGGCTTCTGGAGGTCTTTCCTCCAACAATTCAGCCACAGTTTCTCTTTGTCTCTTTGTGTGTTATTGGCTAATTATATATCTTCTCTGGAAATGTGGGTTCTAACCCTTTGGTCATTTTCAGTTGCATTATTTTGTATTTGTTGGTAAGCCACAGGAGGTTTTTTATTGATCCTTTGTGGATTTCACATCATGCATCCCCAACTCACTCATCTCCCCAACCCTCACTCCAGCCCTCTGTCCTTGCAACCTCCACCCAAAAACAAAATCTAAAAGTAAAACCGAGACAAAAAACAAAACAAATCTCAGTATGGAAGCTGTAGTGTGGCCCAGTGAGTCACAGAGTAAACCCTCTACTACCTACATCTTTATTTGTAGGTGTTCATTGCAATGAGTCATTGGTCTGGTTGGAGGCCTCTGGCTTTTGCTATAGCCTCAATACTAGGCCCTCACTGGGACTCCTCTTGGATATCTATTGTGTCGTGGAGATCCTATGGCTTTGTATCTGCAGGTCTGGTCCCTTTACATGCTCCGGCAGTTCATAGATGAGGTGGGTGTTGAGGTGAACTACCTTGCAGTCCAGGTTCTGGGCCTGGGTGGTAGCTGCATTGATCAGCCTGCCAGCTTTCCCCCATCATCACCAGGGCAAGCTCCCCAGCACTGCCCTGGCTAGCTCACCCAATGTAGCAGGCAGCAGGAGCAGGACAGTTTTCCTGATCTCATACCATTGGTCCAGCTTACCTACACTCATACCACCAGGGCCAGCTCTACCATTCTCATGATTCCAAGGTTGGCTCTCCTGCCTGTTGAAGGGTGGCAAGGGGCGAGGGTCGGGGAGGGGGTGCATTTTTCCCTTACCCTTGCCATCCCAGGGGATACAAGAGAGGGGGTGGGCATCTTTCTTGCTCTCATGCCCATACACTATGTCACCAGTGCCCACAACAACAGGGTCAGTTCTAGTATGCTGCCCAAGCAAAGTGCTGTGCCCGCTTCTTGTGTGACCCTGGGGCCAGCTCTCTTACCTGCCACAGGGGGCAAAGGGCAAGATAGGACACGTTTTCCTCCCCAGTGCCACCACATGGAGGACAAAGGGGGTTGTGGGGCCCTCTAGCTACAGGAGTTCTTTATGTATCATTGATATTAACTCCTTCTTGGACAAATTGTGTGCAGATATTTCCTCCCATTCTACCACACGCATTTTCACTCATAAGTTAATTGTGAACTACCACATAATTCATCTATTTTTTTCTTTGGTTGCTGTGATTTTTGGGTTAATTGTTCTTAAGTTTTTAATATAGGCAATCCGGGATTAGAACATTAATCCAGGTTGAAGGTATAAATATTCATTCCCT